GGGTTTTCACTGAAGAGATGGTCGAGGGACTAACTGCTGACGCTTTGGCTGAACTTCGCTCTTTACGACAACTGGGATGCACATCGAAGCTTGATTTGTGAGTTTCACACGAACTAACCGAATGGAACTAACTGCTCCCAACTTCCACAGCCATTTCCCTCCTCGTCTTTCATCAAAACGAACTTTTCATTGGTCATGCCATAACAGAGAATGATACGTTACTTGAAAGATTGATCGTATGAAAGTAAAGGATTATGATCCACGGCATAGGCTGCTCTGTCGCATCCAATGGAAGTGTTGTCAAGTGACTAGTGAGGGCATTTCAGAGAAATGTCTTCTTTACGACCTGCTTTCAATTGACTGTGGAGAAGTACTGTCACCCAACTCAAATTTGAAATCCACTCAAAGTGTGTGAAGTTGGTAATTCAAGGAGGTATCATCATTCGCCCTGACGCCGCTAGACCACGTGTCGCTCAAGCATCCACCAATGTCCGTCGCATTCCCTTGACCCCCGCAACTTCACATTTTCATCTGCTTCGTTCTTTGCAGCATTATTTGAAGGTACCAACTCTTTGATTCTGTGGAACGAGTCGAAAAATGCCACTTAGTTTTGTCTTTATATGCGCAATTTAAAAACGAGTAATGCGCTGGGATTAAGTTATAGAAAATGATGATTAATATTTATAATTTTTCATGAAGACGTATCCTATTTACCTTGGTTTCAAGTCGGACACGAACTTTTGCAATCACTCAATATTTTACGATCGAATCCGACCCCGTGTTTAAAACAAACACAACTCTTATTTAGCTCAAATGTCTAGTTGGTGAGATAATTTGCTTCGAATGTGAATTCTCACTTTTATTTCAAATTCACGCACTTTTCTCCCCTGACTTTTGTGCACACGACGCACCGGAAAACGAGCCCGTTTTCTTCGAAGACAATTTGAGGTTATGTAACTGAAAGTGAGTGGTAGCACCACTAATCAACTTCCCGCCTTCCTTTGATTGGTTGTTATGAGCCAATAACCCGAAGTCTAAGGGTCTACTCACACTGCCACCCTCGCGGCCAGCGGTTCAACGAGGCAACATGGCGGAACGCCGTGATATGTGGCTATTCAGCGGGTGGTGGTGGCAGTGGAGGTTCCTGAGATCGTGTTTGGGCCTGTACCGGAAGTTCCCCCCTCCCATTCTCAGGCTGGGACTGCATACCACGGCAGAGGGTTGCAGCAGATGTCGGGTGTGGGGGCTGACGCACGACACCCGTGCTCTGTAGAGGCAGGCGGGGCCTGAAAATCAATATGCGTCTGCTCATGGTGGGCGCTCTCGTACCGGTCACGCGTGGCACGCTCCACAAATGGTGCTCGCATGTGTGCGCGCGCGCACGCTCTAGATCAGCTGATCACACGCACACGTGCGTGCGCACGAGAACAAGTCGGAGCGGGGGAGGTGCCATCAACTGCTCAATCTGGCCGGCTGCACGCACGCACATGCGCGCGCACGCGCGCACTCAGCCTTGGCCTCAGTGCCATTGGCAGATGGTTTTGAGCGCGCGAGAGCACGCACGCACTAGCTCAAAACAGACAGGAACCACAGGGAACCGTCACAGAGCGTGCTTCGTTATTGCCGATTCTCCGCATGTCTGGCAGTGTGAACGGGTCGACGGCAGCGCTCTACGATCGGTATCAGTCTTTCAGAGAAGGTCGAGGCTTCCGCGCCTACGACAACAACAACAACAAGACCCAGTCCGCAGACGCAACCCCTGATTCCAAGCGATTCCCCTCAAACATGGACATGAATCCGCCACCGAGCGACGATAAGGAAAATAGACCACCTAGCGGATTTCTTTATCAAACACCGTCAACAACGGCGTTTCAGCCGTACGAGAGAGTCACGGGCCAGACACATTCAGACACTTCAACGACTGTCGCTCCTGACGCTCATCTACGCTACCAAATAAGACGGCCTGTCGAAGCCTGGAAGTACGTCGAGGTGAGTACGAGTGGATTTCGTGATTTCGCCATCGCTAGACCCCTTTTATTCTTTAAATATATTCCCCATGCCAATATTGTCGGGTATGTCCATTTTAAGGTTCAATGACCTGGCTTATTTAATCGATTTATCGACCCAATTCATGAGCTGTCATTTGTTGCAATATTTGCATGTTCCGTTAGTAGCACAAACACCAAAATGTGTAGTTTGTGGTGAATGTGGTCTGAGTGGTACCAACACACCCCTGCTTCTCCAAAAAGCCACAGTCACCCACATGTCAACCCCCACGTTCCCTCTTGCTTGCGTGTTTGCACTCGTGACGTTTGTGTGGCGGCCGCACCGGTCACAAGCGGATGTGCGTGATCAAACTTGCCTGGTGGTCATAGGCTTGTCTTGTGGGACCTCTAAAACCGTCCAGATAAGGCCCCTCAGCATCTCTCTTGCTCTGCATGTCCAGTAAATGCACCCAGAGGCTGTCAAACGACAGGTGATAGATGCGGGGTCACGCCACGTGCGTGTTTGGTTGACTCGTTTGGAGTAAAATCAATCGAGTACCCGAACAGCCACCCTCAAAGCCTTCCGAGGTGTGCTTTAACCCGAAATTGATGTTCTGGCCTCGTCATAGCAACCTGCGCGAAATCTGGCCTCCGTGAGCACATTTTATGGCGCTCACGATAAACGCATCGGTCGGTGGGCCGATGGGGCCCGCATTTTGGCGAACGTGTGTGTTTGGACTGCTCATCCCACCCCACCCCACCACATCCGGTCCATTCTACTCTGCTTCCTGCTTTGGTTGTATCTGCGCCTCGCACGCACGCACACCCACACCTGTCTTGTGGCGCTACCCAACTGTAACATAACGACGTCGAAAGCGATTCCATCACAGTCGTTAGCTAACAGATTTCCCGTTTTCTGTCTGTAACAGTTTGTCAGTGTGAATGTGATTGCTGCCCGCGCCTAGTGGCGGTTAAGATTTAAGAATCGAGGCGACCTAAGCGCGTGTGGAGTGCGTTAGCTTCTCCAATCTGTCAGGAATTTGAAGAGGTGGTCGTATCTGTACTGGGGCAAAGCGATTGGTCGATGTGATGTGTCGTCGCTGAGGGACTTGTGCGTCGTCAGGGGATGATCCAGGTGTCAGGTGGGCCGATCCAATGCAAAAAGAACAAATCGGGTTGGTCAGAAGGCAGTTTCAGTTTTCTGAGTGAAATTTGACTCACTTCTTAATCTGCTTTTTACGCAATCGTTTTGAAAACTTAGGGACTCCCTGCTCGTGTAACGTCTGGTGCTTATCAGCAAAACAACCGTGTGATGCCTTGCATTTCATTGGTGGAATACGACTCCGTTGCAGTTCGCCAAGTCTGACCGTTTTTCGATGGCAGCCAGCTGATACAGTGGCACTTTTGGTTCCTTTAAAATATCTCAAAATGTAATCTCCATCAAATAGATATTGTTAACGATCCATGTTTCATAACCAGCGATGATCGATTGCCTATCCAAAATATTGATTGGTTATGTTAGGTAGATTTCTTCGATTTAACTAGAAACCCAAGTAGTAAGCCTCTTAACCAGTTCAACATATCCCAACATCTAGGTTCAGTTATGTCTTTAATCTGATCATAATCTACGAGATCGAAGGTTTGTCACCTCTGTTTGCGGAATCCCTAGAACGGAATAAAATTCAAACCGATTCTGTCGTGTGTTCTGTTTGGCAGTTGACACCATAAATTTAACACATTTGTCATCGACTTGGCTCTGAGGCAACGCAGTTTCGCACCTCTTTCGTCCCAATCTACCAGTTCCTCTGCTGTTAATGGATCCTTTCACAGTTGGTTGATTTGAGATCGAGTCAGCCAATTCGTGGTTAAGTGGTCAAACATCTCAGGTAAGCAGGTGTGAAGCTGAACTTTCTTTTGCAAACACAGCCTCGTCAAACGATTTTTTGGCAACTGGTCCTTGAAGAAGTTGTCTTTTCGAGGAATCTGTCTCATTGGATTATGCACAAAAATTTCGCCTAGGTGTAATCCTTTTGCAAACACTTAAAACGTCCGCCCAATCGAATCTTGTTCCAGTTTTTCCACTCCAAATCATGTCGCAGAGTTGGAGTAGAATGGTTGTCGACACGCCTTCTTAAGGTCGCGAGTTCGGAAACGTGATTTGCCTCATACGCAGCGTTTACCTTTTCGTATTCAAGCGCAGGAGAGAGGACGGCTCAGTGATTTACCTGTGTCGCACCTGCTCCGCCGTTTACAAGCACAAAAAATCCCTCAACAAGCACTGGAAGGACAAGCACGCGACAGACGGAGGCGACGTCAGTGGCGCGAATGATGACGAGAGCGACTCCCACAACGAGTCCTCATTCAGCGAAGCCACGACCTTCCTGCCGCCTCAACTGCCTCCTCAGCAGCACAAGATGCGGACATCACTCCGTCGACTGCCGCAGGAACCGATCGCACCGGCTTTCTTGAAGAGGCGTCGTAGTGAATTTCCGCTGAACGCTATTCCAGAGCCTTCACCGCTGGATTTGTCAGTGGCCAAGCCTCCACCGCCACCGCCGAGGCTGCCGGAGGTGAAAACCGAGGACGGCGATGAGTATGGAAGAACGATGGAAGAGGATGAGGAAGCTGGTCCGCTACGCGACCGACACATTCTCACACTCCTTCTCCAGTCCGCCCTGAATGCACTCACCAACGAGCCCGAGGCGGCAAAGACCACCGACGCCCTCTCCTCAACCACCCTGAACCTTCTGCGCGCTGTTGGCAGCATCCTTGTCTCGTCAACCAAGAAGGCGGACCAACCGAAGCGACCGCAGCAGACCCCTCCTCCGCCTGAACAGGCGAGTGCTGAGCGCAAACAACTACCGCCGCAACAGCAGTCGCAGCAACAGGAGGACCCGCTGATTCCCTGTCCAGCCTGTCCATTCGTTGCTCGGTGGTTCAGCGAGTTGAGGGCGCACATGGTGAACCACTCGGGTCACCGGATGTTCGGGTGCTGCTACTGCCCCTACCGAGCCAAGTGGAAGTGGGACGTCGCGAAGCACATGCGAAGGTGTCTGCACGCCCGACATGTGGCCCACCTGCCAAACGAGGGGCTTCTTCGCATGATCACGTACTTTGCGCCACCGCCTGAAGACATTCTCTACGCCTACTTTCCTCGATGTGGCTATCCGGGCATCGGTGTGGATCAGCCGCCGCTTCCTCCTCCTCCTCTACCGCCACCACAGGTCTCTCGGACGGTTGAACAGGAGGGAACAGACGAGGAAAGTGAACAAGCCCTCTGCATTGACGAGAACCCAGCGACAACGAGCGAGGACGCACGAAATACGGGTGACGATAAACCACCGGTATTGGAACGGGTGAGTCACGCAGGGCTAGTGCATAATCAAATTAAAAGCCAACTTTGCGAGATCTGCCCGAACTTGACGGCTCTGTTTTGAATTGTTAGGCCGTGGAACCGGATCAGAAGCCGGGACTGGTCTTCCGGCTGAGGAAGTGCACCGCGTGCAGCTTCCATTCCCAGGACGAGCACGAGTTGCAGGACCACATGGCTCGTTCGCATTGCCACGAGGCAACGGCGTCGTGACCCCTCGTATCCACCCTCATCTTCCGCTTTCCGTGTACATACCATTTTTGAGCGTATTTTACTTCCAGAATAAATCCATCTTGTGTGTGGCATCCTTCGACTGCTCATCGCCAAACTGGGGCGTTACGCGTGTAGCAAGCGGTTGAAGGAGGTGAGGTATCGTAAATGCCAGACGTCTGGTTAACTCGTCAATTCCGACTGGAAACTCAAGCAAGGGGTTTGCACTCTGACCTCATTTCACAGGTCATGGTTTGGCGACGCCTAGAACTCTTAGTGCGAGGGTAACCTATGCATTGGGAGTTGCTAGGATACCAGTAGATGTTCAATCCGTGGTCAGTCGTAACCACAACGTATCATTTTGGCGTGCAAGTGTGCGGTTTAGTGAGAGGGAGGGGCAGTGGTGGCAAGGGCTTGTGAAGGTCTTGTGGCGTGTTGCAGTTCCACAAAAGTACTCACAATTGGAGCATTTCAAGGTTTGTTTTTTCCACATTAAATCCATGCTGGTAAATGTTGCGGGACACGGGGGAAATGGATACAGAGTTGATGAGCGATGGAGATCACAGCGATGCGAATAAATGAGGTGGTGAGGCCACATGTTCTTCGAGAACGTCATTCGAGTCCACTAAGATGCCAGTCCGAGGTCATCGACAATTCAATCAACGACACGTGTGTGTGTGTGTATCGACACTCCTTGTAATTTTAGGCCTTCTTCGCTGACCCAGCATTTCCTCAGCTTATCATCTGCACTTGAAAATGCAACACAATTCACTCACAAAGCAGATCAATCACAAGCGGTTCAGTGCTGTGAATGAATGATATTGTATCATTTAAGGACAAGGTCAGAGACCAACAGAATGTGGATTCATTTTGTGCGTTGTCAATAGTGCACCCAGATAGTATCTTCTTTGTTCCATGATAAAATGGCATTCAAGACTGGTCGTGTTTGTCCCCACTCTGGTTGCTTGAATGTGGCGTCCGTGTAGAGTAGGAGGGGATGGAGGTGATTGCGAGGACTCCACCACGGCGTGGTTGCTGTAGCTGTGGAGAAAACGCTGACTGTGTGTGTAGGACATTGCGCAGTGAAGCGTAACTTGGCGTTGGTCGCGCACCTGGGCTGAAGCGAAAACTTCCGATTGTTCTAGTCGAGAGCAGCTGAAGCTGGCACTGAGCAGGCGATTGCGTTTGCGCTTGCGCCTAAATCATGGCTGCAATGAACACAGAAATGTGGATCCAGATCAGATTCCCAAACAGCTGAGCCCTTTTGACTTTGGAGAAATGTAAGAGCCGAGTGTGATGCCAAGCGTCTTCAAATGGCACGAAAATGTGTGGATGGGGATGATTGGATTGGATGACAATCAGAACTAACTCAACTACGAGGAAGTGATGCAACATTAGGTAGAAGACAAGACGCAACGCAGTGGAAAAACGCCTCATTGGCACGATTGTGCCGGAAGTCAGCTGGCCACGAGTGAATCCGCAAGCGACAGAACCGAGTTTGCACTCACAGTACTCAAAGCACAACCAGACAGAAGGGGTCTGAATGGCATTCTTAGCACTCGACACATTCTGGGTTGTCGTTGGCGCACAAATGAGCAGCTACCGACTAGCCACCAAACGCCATTGCTGTCGCGAGTTAATCTAGTTTCATTGCACAATGAACTGGTCGTTGTGGTTGTACCTTGTTGCCATGTCACTCATGTCTGTTCTCCATGCTTTATTCCGAATTAACACGCGATCACTAGCGGGGTTCGTGCACTAGCTCGAACTGGCCAAAGTTAGAATCATGTTGCGAACAGTAATTCCGACTTGAATCCCACCAAGCCATCGACAGGCAGTGCCTCAGTATTTCGCGAGATGGCTACGCGTTGGCCATGATCTCTTTTTATTGGACTCGAGCGGTGTTCGCTCAGGTATCCCCAGATGTGGATGCGATGGTATTGCGCGGTTTTCCATCAAAATCCCGATGTGACAGTGCGACCGAATCCTCTCGATTTGCCGAATGAATGTACCTGTACTCGGAGCGAAAGTGGCAGACACTTTCTTTCCACTTACACTATCAGTTGTGGACGTCACCAGCCCACCTTCTAAGAAATCACGTCAGATGAGAAATCGTGACGCCGTTTCTTCGCTTTGCTGCCCTTCAACTCTAGTGAAAACATACTGACTGATTTTTTTGAAGTCAGTAGGAATCGAGCGGTTAAAGTTCATTTTTTTTCGAAATAAAGTACACAGTATGTCCTGATAATTATGTGAGGTTCGAATTTCTGATATGAATCACCTTTCCTTTGATTGATAACTCTTGTGGGATTGTCTGAACAATGCCATCAAGTCTTAATCAAATATTGGACATAGGTTTTGCCATAGTTAGTTGGTGCAGACAACTGTTAAGAGCTGATCGTTGTCCATGCACGCTGCAATTCCGGTGGAGACTTGGCAGGTTGAATTTTCTTGCCCAGCCAACTCAGCGACTCGGGAGGAGGCAGTGAGTCACGCAGAGAACGCGACTGGGTTTTAAGCCTCTTCCTGACGGCACCCAGTTACACCCCCCAAAACGAGGAGTGGAGGCATCCGATGGCACGAATATGGTGGCGGGCCGGTTGCCATGGCAAACACACGTGCCTGGGGGCTAGCCCCACTGACAGATGGAATGAGGACTCAAGCACTGGACCAAGCCCCAAAGAATGCACGACTCAGTTGTCACCACACCGACACTTTCGAGTTGTCGGTGGAGGCTCCTGTGCCCTATTCACTCACAGACCAACAATTTCTGATCGGCGATTGGATGTAGCGAATTACTTTTTGGAAACTTCATGAAATCTCCTCCTAAAATCGACATTCGCACGTGAATCTAAGAGGCATGGGGGTTGGCAGGACGTCTCAAGTGGTCATTAACCAAACTCTACAAAGTCCCTGGTCTACTTCCATCACACCAGCGAGACACGATAGCTCAGATACCGACGTGGGCAATTAGCATGAGGGTACCACTTATGCGGGGCTACGTGAGGAGGCCATAAAGCGGGGTTGCTAGGGCACCAGCGTGCGCGAGGGTGCGCGCGTTCGACCAGCTAATGCCAGTCCCACACAGAGGAAGAAAACAAAGACGGCACGTGTGGGTGCGTGAGTGCGTGCGTGCGTTCGACCTGCGGACAGACAAAGCCTGCGTAAATCACATCTTGTCCAGCACTTTTCCGAGGCTGGCCCTGCTAGTAGTCACCGGAATGAGTTATGCAAATTCCACGCGCGCACACACACACATGCCACATATTCGACTACGTGACTTAGCCAGTCCTTCCTAGCACAGTTCCGTTGAATGCCACAAGTTTTTCAAGCAGACACCTCTAAAGAGGGGTTAGAGAAGCAGCTTAAATGTCGACGTGGGTGGTGGAACATGCCAGTGTTCCGAAACAGCATCGGGCGGGTCTGTTTGGGCTCACCTTTTGTGGAGACTGGCGTCTGACTGTAATTACTACTAGCGGTCTGGTCGTGGCACAATTAACTAAGACTTGGTCGAATCGACTGCGTAGCTTCGTCACCGTGCCTGCAGGGCATCAAGTTGCTAGCGCAAACTGAAGACAGCGATAATTGCTGAAAGGGAGCATCAATGAGAAGCGGTGACGCAGACAACACGATCGATTGATGGCTGCAAAGTGGGCCGGAGGCAGCAACTTAAAGCGATTCTGGAAAAAAACCTGACATGTTTTTTTGCCTCATCGGCAAATGAGGCATGAGTCATCGCAATTTTAATTAAATTTACCCATCACAAACACGAAAACTCGGTGCCAATAGATAAAAAAGCGTGGTTTAATCAGTAGTGTGTTGCCTGTTGTTACTGATCACTTATTTTTAATTAATTAAGTTACTCATTACGCGTGCTTCAATCTGCAGTGTTATACGTTGCTAGTAGGCACTTCGATCCAAATTCCAACATGTTTCCTGATGACCAATCAAACCAAATTTCGAGATTTTGACCGAAACCTCGCTTTTGACGTTATGTTAGCATTGAAGAATGTAACCCCACTTCGTAAGTAGTTGGATAGTGGACGGTAGAACATGGAAGACAAGCCGTAGAACTAAAAAATCGAGAGATATCACGAAATCTACTATGGCTAAATACGTCTGCTGTTCAATGATTGAAGTACTGGGAAATGAGTCCCACCACAAAGACTCGACTGCCGAGGGTTTTGTAACAATTAGGAAAGGATGGGAAAGCGAGGGTATGTTGCCAAAGAATGCCATTCCACCGATGAGATCGCATTACCTGTATCACAAATCGAAAAATTTATTGACTGCTTAGATGCTTTCAAGAATCACATGACTAGTGATGCCCCCACAACCCCACCATTCACACTGGAATCTCTTTCGATGATGAAGCTTTTTCCTTTCAAGGGTTCACACGGACAAAATCCCACGACCTCTAATCTTCTGCCAACATTCAAAAAAAAACAGCCCCATGAATCATTCGTGGAACACCGTCGCTTGATGCTGTCGCCCAAAGACTGCGAGGTTGAAGTTACGGTTTTTGAAATGTGCCACCCCACCAGCGTGCTATTTCCCCTGGAACAGCAGATGACAAACACTGCGAAGAGCTACATCAGCCAGCCGGTTTTTCTCGTCAACAGTGACTTGAAAACGCATCATTTGCCTTAACTTTGTGTCACAGAGTAACGTTCTGAACCAATTAAGAACCCCAATGGCACACCCCCTTAGCCAACACATTTAGATGCGTAGGTTGTGGTGAATAATACATGTGACAGAAATTCTCCAGAACTGGATGACAGAAATGGCATAATAAGGCATTCCACGCATAAATTAGCCTGAAGTTATGCAAAACTGCCTTTCGGCTTAGTGAGGGCGGTGGCATCTACGCATGATTACCTACGACGTACCTCTACCTCTCGCAGTTTGCTCTGAGATTGAGTATTTTCATATACGATTGACGATATTTTGCTGCCACCGAGGAAGACTTAGAACTTGTGGAATTTACTGAGAAGTTGAGATGGGCATCACAGGACACTTCTAGATCCTTCCGTATTTGCGACGGACTGACTTCATGCCCTTCATGTACCTGAACTTGTGGAATCTACTGAATAGAGGGAGAATGAATGGGCAGGTCACATTTACCTCTATTTTTCTCCGGCGTTAACCAGCGTTCAGAGGAATTGGGTGATTGTAAAACTTGAAATCGAATAAAGAATAAATGACATTTTTTTAATAAATTATGTCCGTCATTTACCACAGCAGAATATCAACGATTTATGCCTTTCCATAACACCAATTTAAAAGTAAAAACAGAGATGATTTCTACACCTATCCACGAAATCTAATCATTTGCCGACCCAAGATATTTGCAGCGGACGAAAGAGAAGTAGGTGTGAAGGTGTAAGGTCAAGGGAATGCAGGAGACATTGGTGGATGATAGAACGACATGTCGTTTAGCGCTGTCAGGGCGGAAGATGATGCCATTTCCACCACGTTTCTACGATCTACCTACTAGTATCGAGGCAGTGAGCTTGCATGTCTCTGTTTTCCCACCAACTCAGAATAGTAAAATGTCGATCAAGTGGACGAATGTGACACCGTTGACTACTAACAGCCACACTTATTAGTAGTATTGACCGTCTGCTAGTTTAAAACAGACACAAGCAGAGTCTAATGGAGATCGGACGAGTAATATTACTGTGATTGAGTTAGCTCATAATTTCGTGACCAATTGCATAGCCAAACAGATGAAATTATTTGATTGCTCACTTATTGTTCAGGCGTCAGTTAACACACGATCCAAACTCACACATTGAAGGAAGCTGGCAAAATAGACTTGGCATGGGCTGAATTTAGGCACGGGGGAGCGATTATCCGCTTTCGACACAAACCCACTGGCGTGATTTGGTTCAGCAACGTAGATGCCTTATTTTAACGCCCGTGGTTGGCATCGTTTTATTTGAATTGAGGGCTGTGGAGAAGAGTGTAAACGCACTTTCGTACTGCGTTGTGTAGCAAATCATCGGAGGTTTGTAAGGAGAGACAACGAGAACCACAAGCATTTCTGTTATTTACTACTCAAATAAATAATGGAAATCAAGTTTCAATGCGCATCCCAGTTGTCGTAAAGAGCGAAGTTCAGCCAAAGCGTCAGCAGTTAGTCCCTCGACCATCTCTTCAGTGAAAACCCGTGAATTGTTATCTTTCGCGAACACGGTTTCATCACATTCTCATAAACACTACTCAAATAACTAATCATGACGAAAAGGCAAACTTTCATCTCCATTTTGAATATCAACGACGCACGAGCAT